AAAAACGCACTTGAGGTGTTGCACGTGGTCCTCCACAGTTTCACTAAAAACGATGAGGTCGTCCATATAGACCTGTGAATAGGATTCGCCTAGTCCTCGCTGTAGTTCGTCCATAAGGCGTTGGAAAGTCAGTGGGGCCCCTTTTAGTCCGAACGGCATTCGAACGAATTCGAAGTGTCCCCTTTCCCACGAAAAGGCCGTCTTACCAATATCCTCCTGGGCCATCCGGACCTGGTGTTACCCGCTCTTTAAGTCCAGCGTACTAAAAATAGTCGCCCCTGACAGTCGATCAAGAATATCCTCGACCCGAAGAAGGGGATACCGCTCGTCCTTAGTCGCCTCGTTCAGTTTCCTGTAGTTAACTACGACTGGATACTGTTTCGCGTTGCCGCCCTGCCCGCACTGCTTCTTTTCCACCACCCACTATTAAAGGGGGAATTACTCTGTCTGATAATACCCTGCTTAAGAAGTTCTCCCAATTTTTCTCTGATAATCTCTCTCATGGCTTGTGGGTAACGCCAATTTTTAACGTAAACTGGGGCTTCCGACTTCAGATTTATTCTATGCACCGTTCGTCCAGTGGTTGGTAGGTACTCGTTTTCGCGGTAGAATAAATCCTTGTTTTGCGCGACTAAGTTTGCTAGCGAGTCTTTGATGCAATCCACGGCCCCGACTTCCATGATTCCGCTACTTCCTATCATCTTTACCTCGTAGTGTCGTTCCCCTATTCTATACCGCCATGTCTCGTTCCTATTCTTAATTTTGAACCCAACGCGGGTTAAAATGTCACACCCGACTATTAGATCCTGACCCGGCATCATCTGCGAAATCATATGTACCGTGATCCGCGAGTCACGTCCCGTGAGTTCCTTGAGATCAAAGAGTGTCTCTCCCAGCGTCTGAACTCTGCCGTGAATCGTTGACACGGCACAAGAGCATCGCTCCCGTTTCGCCCAGATTCCCAGTTTTTCGCCGCCCCTATATTGATTAAGGAGTTCGTACTTCCCGTGTCAATGAGAAATTTGATGCCGGATTCTTTCAGTCTCACCACGGGCAACCTTGTCCGCTGTCCTGTATTCGCGCTATTGTTAATAATTAAACTCCCCGGTTGGTTGCCCCTCCCGTTGCCGCGTCCTCAGTCCGAGCGCGCGCGTCCTACCGCTTCCTCCGTTCCTGACGGTACTCCCCTCCAGGGATTCCCCCCACTCACCTCTTGCCTTCTCGTAGTCGGACCACTGCGCCCAGACCGGATGCTTTCGTCCTCCGAAGATTCTCCGCTGGTGTAGCGTCCTCCGCCGGTCGGGGGTTGCGCCTTGGACATTCTCTCACAACGTGCCCCTGCCTGCCGCACTCGTAGCACCTCGTGAGCTTACATTGGACCGCTAAGTGACCCGTTCGATTGCACTCGTAGCAACGGCGCCCAGGCTTCCGTCTCCCTTCCTCATAGCCTTTGCTTGGTCGCTTTTCGAAGCCTCCGTTAGTGTTATTCCTCCTCGTAATACTGCGTTACCGCCTTCTCGATGATCTCACTTTCGTCCATTCCGCTTCCGGCTATTCGAAGCGGGTTTCGTTTCGCTCCCTTGCATCGACCAGGTCGTGGGCGCATTCGGTAAAATCGCAGTCTCTGGGCAGTGATCCCGGACGGTCCAAATAATGGTTTAGTTGTACCTTTAGCACACCCCTTAGAAACTCCATCTTCTGGGCTCCTTCCGCCTGGCCGCATGTTTCCACCATCTTCTCCGTCAATCTATTGTATAACACCAATAGCTTTTCGGCGAACTCGCCCTCCGATTGGCCCTGGGTTCTGCGCTCTTTAAACAAATAGAAAACGTCCTCTTCCGGGGTCCACCTGACACCGCCGTATAACTTCTTGAGCCGTATCTACAGTGTCTCCCAGGAGACCGTCAAATCGCCCTGTACGGCATTTAAAACCCGCCGCGAGATACGACCAATCAAAGAGGCCTCCAGTATTTTCATGTCGGACTCCAGCAACGTGCCTGACTCCTGTCTTGTGGTAATCATCAGCTGTGATTCTGTCACTGTGACTAGGCCGGAGCTGGTGATCACAGTGACAGGCGCACCGAAATCACAGTGACGGTCACTGTTGGCGCTGTGAAATCACTGTACGCCGGAGCTGTGCTCCAACAGTGACGGTCACTGTTGGCGCTGTGAAATCACTGTACGCCGGAGCTGTGCTCCAACAGTGGCCGTCACTGTTGGCGCTGTGAAATCACTGTACGCCGGAGCTGTGCTCCAACAGTGACCGTCACTGTTGGCGCTGTGAAATCACAGCTCTGACCACTCCGCTCTATCACTTCTTTTTCGTTCTAGCAATCTGGGCATTCTTGACTTCATTAATTTAATAAATGAATTAAAGAAATAATCATGAAATAATTATTTCTAAAATAATAGTTATTCGTCAAATTTTATTAAAAATACTTTTTGAACTTCAGATGAATTTGAGCATCCATTGCTATATATTTCTGATTGAGTTATGTCAGAAATAATTAACAGGAAGTTTTTCATTTAACTGTTGAAATATAAATAAAAAAATTAAATAAATTCAAATATTCTCTGCAGGGCTGTACACAGAAACCAAAGGATCCCATAGATATCTTCCCCCATCAAATATAAAATTTATCACAGGAAAAAAAAATTATTTTAATATAAGTTTAAACGGGGCCGGGAAGGCCGAATGGGCTAAGGCGTGTGCACATCACCGCGAGTTGCCTGGCAACCGGATTACAGATTTGAGATTTAAAAAGTACGAGTTCGCGTCCCGGTGCTGGAGGGGATTTCAAATCCCCTCGGCCCGGGAAAATCCCGTATAGCCTAAAAGGCGAGGTAGGGAAGAACAAAAAAAATCTCTGTCACACCACATCACTAACAACGATACACAGGTGGATCTACGGTAGGGAGGGGCTCTTTCGGGCTGAAGCCCTCTCCCCCAAATGGGAAAATATATTCATGTTTTTCATTAAAGAAATATAAAAACTATCTCTTAAAGTATTCTTGTTCGTGTAATTACTTTTAATAGGACTTCAAGAACCACTTAAACACCATTTCATATAGGTAGTTAATTTCTTTCTTTTTTTTCAAATTAATTATTATTATATGTATTTGAAAAAAAAATCTTTCGGGGTGAAGCCCCCACCAAAAATTAAATCCTGGATCCGTTAGTGCTACGATATATCACAGAATGAAGGCTTTCTCCAAAAGTCTGTCATTTTTTTTTCTATCTTGCGCATACATTTTATTAATGACAGAACCAAAAATTTAACAGGTGTATTGCACATGAGTTGCCCGCTCGTATTAAGGCAAAAAAAAAAAAAAAAAGCATCGAATGAAGTTTATTCAATAAGTTTCGCGTACCTTTGGGGACTGAATAAGCACAATTTTGTACAAGCATACAACTGTTGGCCACAGGCAGATCTACAAGGGGGAGAGAGGGTTTTCCAAAATGTAACCATGTATCACGAAAAAAGTATTAAAAATTTAATTACATTTAATGGGACTTCGAGAATCACTTAAACGCCATTTCATATATGTAATCTTTCTTCTTTCAAAGTAATAATCTTGTTATCTATGTATATATATATATATATATATATATATATTATATATATATAAATATTATATATATATATATATATATATATATATATATATATATATATATATATAGATAACAAGATTTGCTTTAATGAAACTTTATTTGCGAATAACTCGAAATTTATACGCTTTTCCCTTATGTCCATAGATATATAAAAGATTACTAAATTCCCTACAAATGGAAAAAAAATCATCGAAATCGGACTATTTTTAGCAAAGATACAGCTCATTGAAATTTGTAAACATTTTGGTTCCAAGCATTAATGAAGTTTTAAATTAATTTTTATTTCCTTTGTCGATTATATTTAGCGAAAAAGTAACAATTGATTTCTTTTATGATACGTTGCATTGTTTTATTTGCATAATTTATTATTTGATTGCTGAACAATATACTGTGCGAATTTTCGTACGGGCCTATCTGCACTATCGGCGCTTCCCTAAAATCAAATCGTGGATCCCGTAGTGCTGTTGGTTCTCCGTTATTGGTTCTCCGGCTACCTTAAGGTTGCCCTACCTTAAGGTACTTACCAGAGTGGGAATGTCAAGATTCATTTCCCAGGAACCCCGGGAAATTAAAATTAACGATCCGGGTGGAAATCAAACTCACAATGATCTGGGTATTCTAGGACCATCCCCTCACCGTTCTCGGTCATCCCGTCCTCTAAACAAGTCATCGCTCGAAGACACCATCTTAAATAACAAGCGTAGCAAGTACTATTTTTATTTTTTTATTATGTTATATTGGAATATCCCACCGTCATGTTTATATCTTCAGTTTAATAAATTTCTGAAATTCACCCCTACAAAAACTTCTATAACCGCTCCGGATCTTCAATTATCCAATACTGCTACTTTATTTCGTCATAGAATATAATTCTTATCGTAGCTCGCATTATGCCTCTCCCCTTCCATATTTAACTTTCTTTTTTGCTGTTTCTACAAGAATGTTTATAATCGGTTCCCATCTTATATGTATGTAAATGTTTATGAATCATGAACTTTCATTTCACCTCAAATTGATCTAACGTAAATTAAAATAATAAATTAATCGAATAGGACCCTAGTACCAGGATAAACAGAATTTATTTTTACTTAATTTCACATTATTATCTTAAACAGTGGGGGAAGTACAAAAAAAAGTAATAAACTGTTAAATAATTGTTTGATGATTTAATTTAACTGTGGATTAAAAAAGAAACGTTGATAATATGCTTTTTCAATGTTTGACTCTTTATTAATTGGGAAAATATTCTCAGGAGTACCAAGTTTAGGCAAAAATTAACTTTGAAAAGGGAATTAAACTTATTAATTATAAACTTCTGATTCTTAGACCAACAAAGAGGTAATAATATTCCTTTTTGTAACGCAATTGATCTCCTACCTCTTAAATTTGAAAAGCTACCCGCTGCTTTCTACTAGTCTTGAAGAGACGTTTGAGAACAAAATTCAGAACTTATCGGAAGTTGGATTAATTGTATTACTATTGCTGGGATATAACAACCTAAATTAAAACATCTTTCATTGTAAGTGGTACTTGTGATGTAAACTTATGTTTCTCGAACGTTTTATCTAGTTTAGACAATTGAATATTTCCGGTTGCTTTTAATGATATGGCAGCCAATTTTTCGTTTTGTTTCTAATTATGATTGAGTAATTTATTTAATAATTAACTGAGAAGCACTACATTTTTTTTATAGTTGTGTTCTTGTATTTTACAATTGTTAATACTGTGTTGTAAGTAAATGAGTCTTTCAACAGCTTGTTTTCTGATTAGGGTTACCAGCTTATGAAAAGTCTTTCAGGACATGGCAGCAGCCTTGTTTCATACTCTTTAATTTAGTGACTATTTTAGCTGTTTATGTATTCATACCTATTTATGGTTTTGTGGAAATTGCATTCTTATGTAAAGCATAATTCTTATAGAATGTTTAAATCATTTTATAGTTTCATTTGATCCTCCCATTCTTCTGTTATAAATTTCTTTTGAGAACAACTAATTAGTCTGGTTGTCTTCCAATCTTTTTAATTTTCTAGTCCAGCTTAGCCAACCAAGTTAACTAAATCAAAGGCATTAAATTACTGGTTCAGACTTGCATTTTCAGCATACTTCAAGTACTGGCAGGTGAATACTGAAGACTTTGCTCTTGAGTACTGGGAGTTATTTGTTGCATTTTTCTTTTAGCTGAGATTTCTGAATCTTATATTGTAAACTAGTTTGAAGTTGATCTGTTATAAGAAGCTACTCTTGAAGTACACAGGATATAGAATATATAGCATTGTATTGGCAGCAGTCTCATCTTTGTCTTGGAAAGTCATTTTGTAAATTAATTCCTTCTAATTTAAATTAAGCTATCATTATATTGGAATCTATACTTCCAGCTTCACAGCATAATCCTTTTTTTCATGTATAATATACTGTATACCTATATAAAAATATCACATATGTCTTGATAGCTGGATTTTAACTCATTTTAAAGATATTCATGTTTTTTTTTTAAATATTGCTCTGAATTAATTTTAGGTAGAAATAGAGAAATACCCGAAGTAGTGCCACATCGGGTTAACCTGATAAGGCCTGGACCATATGATTATAATGTTCTTGGTGTGATAAAGCAAGCCAAATGAGTGTGTTCTCCTAATTTTCTTATTAATAAATTACTCCATGATTGAAATATTAGATGGTGAATATCGAAATAACCACAATTTTAGGTTTCCAACTGATGACTCAAGACTGTACTTTTTTAGACTGTCTAGCGTTATAACTTTGAATAAGAATTGTGAAACCAGAAAGAAAATTAAAATTGAAATTAAACTGAGGAAACAATGAAAAGTTATACTGAGTTATGTGATAAATCTTGCACAAAAATAATAAGCAAAATTTATAAATTCCATGCATTTTTTATTGTTCAGTGTGAAATAATGTCATTTTCTCTTTATAATTGTTACTTAAATTTTCAGATACTATCTGCTCTCTACTTACTCGTTAATATAATGAAAACTTTCATTTCACAAACATATTAAAGATCCTTTTGTGTATACTGCCATACTTACTTATATATGTGGTTCTATATTCCAAGATGGATTTTGGCCTCCCTAACAATTTGCCTCCATTCCTGTCTATCCTGAGCCTTTCTTTTCCAGTTAGTTATGCCAATTTTTCTGAGATCTTATTCTGGGTCCTTTTGTCAGCTATTCCTAGGTCGTCCTCTCTTCCTCTTACCTGGAAAGGATTCTCTTGTGAGCTTGTTTACCATTCATTTGTTGGGTAAACTTTCTACATGCCCAAGCCAGCTAATTCTTCTTGACTTAATAAATAATAAATCTTACAATATCATCATGGTTATTTAGCTTATCCAGTTCCTGGTTATTCCCCATGTGTCAGGCACCTTGTTTTGAGATGGGTTCACAAGGCCATAGTAAGCTTTATTGCCACTCATCATTCTTTTCTTGATCTCATCTCCCACTTTATTTTCAGAGTTAATTTCAGTACTAAGATATGTGAAATAATCAACGGCTTCAAAGTTGTAATAATTTTATATGTATGTGTGTGTATAATATAACGTGGCCTTCATTTAGCTTTGGAAGTTGCCATCATATATTTTGTTTTTGACTCATTAATGTCAATCCAACTTTTTTGCTTTCATGGTCCAGCTTGATGAGTACTTCTCTTGCCAAAATGACATCTGCGTTCATAACCAAGAATCCGATATAAACGGCATGCCGAAGTATTATTTATATCAATACATCTGATAGCTTTGTGTAGCACTAGATTAAAGGAGATTGCTTAGAGTCTCCTTATCTTAACCCAAAGGTTAACTCTTATCTTTCCACTTATTCGATTACCAATGATGTTTGGAGCAGTGTAATTTTTATCATATTAATTAGCTTTAGAAGTACATTAAAATTTTTCAAGGCATTAAAAAGCTGGGATTCCATTAACCCTATCATAGGCTTACTTAAAATCGATAAAGACCATATGAACATTTGTATTCAGTTCAAAGCACTTTTTGAGGACCTGCCTCAAAATGAAACAGAAGAAACAGCCTTCATAACATTCGAACATTTCTAGAACTTCTTCTGCTAAAAAAAAAATTTTGTCTAGTTTATAGTGAAGCAATTTTTAATTAATTATATTAACTAATGTTTTAGTTATCTCTTCCTATTCATCAAAAACCGCGACTTACAAAAACACAAAACTTAAATGGCCTACCATCCTACCGAAAATCGGACTATTGTTTGTATGAAGTTATTGATAGCTCTAGAGGTCTAATAGTACCTGTTTAAATATTTCCCTCTACTTACGGGAAACCCTTTATATTATTGTCCTTGAATATAAATGACAATTTAAATAAAAGTAATATTTAGGTATCAATAAAATCGTTATATACTTACTACTAGATCCTAGTCTAGCTAGCTAGTTGACTTTTCTCAACCGATTTTATTTTAGACATTTTATTCATTCATTTAGCTTATTTATTATTGGTTTTAACTTTTTTACCTCAAATTATTGGAGGAGAAACGATATACTCGTCCCCTCAACATTTTTATTGGTGGGTGGTGATTGCTCTAACACGGTCCTAACGTTCCATGTAACCATGGTTATATCTTCTAGATTTTTCCTTTTCTCATAATTCTTTGAATTATAAATTTCCTAACCATTTACTTTTTTATATGATGGGGGTAGGAGGTTGGTCCCATGCTCAACCTACAACCAGGATGACCAGTGGCTTTGATTTAGGTGTGTCCTTCCCTAGGGAGTTACCTTCACCATTGCTATAGAGTACATCCTACTCTTTTGCAGTAAGCAAGATAACTCTGCCTTAGGAGGTTGCTGTAAAGATTTCATATTATATTTTATTATTTCTTCTGTTCTAAGCAGAGTTGGATGGTCGAGTTCTATTCCTTGGGTCTGCCACGAAATAAAAGTTCTCTCTTCCCAGGCCAGATTCGAACCGGTGTCGCTAGGCACAAGAATTCTACAATGGGCAATACTCCAGCACTCTCGGCCATCACAACCTCGTTCTTCTATCTAACAGTGCCCTGTGCTTGTTCAAATCCTCCTCTCAGATTGGTCCCAGTATGTAGTCATTACCATCTACAAAAAAACTTCAAAAGACTGAAATGGAATCTGTGACTGGGCAGGAGCTAAAAAGCTGAAGTTAAAGGCAGAGAAAACGAAGCCAATCCTTACAGGCTCCAATCACCTCCTTAAATCTTCCTAACATTCCAACACTTTTTCTACGTGATAATCCCACCCAATTTTATCCCACCATCAAAATTTGATTGCTGCATAATATATGGAGGCGTCTCTGAGAATCTCAAGGAGAAACTAAAACGTTTGATAAATAGCTTTGTACGATTCATTTTCGGGATCCCAAGGGATGCTTCTGTTTCCTGTTTTTATGAACAGTTAAAGTGGCTATATCCTTCCTACCATTGGAAGTATTAACTAGCATCCTTTCTCTTCCAATTCATTCAATCCCACTGCCCCTCATACATCTCCAAGCTCCTTTTATTCAAATCCTCAGCACTCTGCCAATTCCCGTTCCTGGTCTTCAGATTTATATACAATAGCCCACCAAACCGCTCGATAGATCTTTCATTGAAATGGAGCCTGTTAGGATTGCTTTTACTTTCTGGAACTCAATTCCTTCTTACATATGTCGCTCCAATACCATTCCTACTTTTAAATCCCACCTATCCAATCACTTCCTGTCCAACCAGTCCTCATAAAATTGTAAATAGTAAATTCTGTAAATATATTATTGGTTTCTTTTCTTTTTAATTTTTTATCAATTAAACTTAGAAGGTAGCATATATATTTTTTCTATTATGTTTATTTGTTTACTTTGTTGCTTATTGCTCATATATATTATCATATATCTCTGTGGCTCAAAAGTCCACATTTCTGCCCTTGTGAATTATTCTAAAGGAACTTGTCCCAGAATAAGTAAATAAAGTATTATTATTGTATATCTGATTTTCTATATTTCGATAATTGAATTCTTATAGTAAACTGTATTTATTCCTCCAAGCTATTTTAATTAATCTAATTCTTTCAGTTGTTTGTGTATGAAATGTTACCTAACCCCAGTGAAAAAAAAAATCCACCCGACTAGCTTCACCATTATATGAACAGTGTGGTTATGTGACCTGTCATTTGGATGTGACACAGCTATTTATTAGACCAATTTTTTTTAATTTTTTTTTCATTTATGTACTCAAATGTTAATCACATTTTTTGTTGGCTTTTTCTTTCTGATAGAGAATATTAAAATGAGTGTAAACAAAAGAAATATTGAAATCAAAGCTTGTATAAAGGACATTACTGAATTATTGGAAAAAGTTAAAAGCCATAGTGATACTAAGGAGGAAATAATTCGTCAAGAAGATCATTTCTTCAATGCCATCCATGGAAGATTGAAACTGAGAATACTGGAGGTAAGTAATTAGTGATTTGGTTAAAAGAATAAACTTTTTTTGAATTGCTATGTATCTGAACAAGAATCGACACACATGCTTGACTGCTAAGTATTTTTCATTATCTTTATGTACCAATTTTTTAAAATTAAATAATTGTTATTATAGATGTTCCAGATATTACCAATACCTTTTCCTTACTAGATAATTTAGTTTGCAGAATTGGAACAGATAACTAATTTCATTTTTAACACATAAATATATTCAAAGTATATAATCTTAAATCTTGTCTACTGTAGATAGCCTTTTTAGTCAATGATACTATTAGTCTGGGATCTACTGAAGATTTAACCATGTGATCAGCGGCAGAAGGTTTGAAAATTGAAAACAGTAGAGATGACAACCCTAATGCCAAAAACTGCTAACCGGAAGCATTTGGCTATGGTAAAATTTCAAAAATCACAAAAACTGCCGAAAATTATTTGATCAGTAGCAGGGAAATAATCAACTGGAATAGTTTCAGACAACTCAGTAGATGGCAGATTTAATAGTCAGACAAAATTTTGGAAGCTTTATACAAATCTGACAGCTTTAAAAATCTCAAGTCCCAGAAATTACACTATCATCAGCAGTAAAAAATCGGTTACAATACTTTCAAAGCACAGTAATTTTATTATTGTTATTTTATAAAATCTGAATAAATTTTGGAAGCTTTTCACGAATATGACATGCAAATTTGAAAAATATATCGACCAGCAGCAGGCAAAAAACGGTTAGAATAGTTTTAGACCACTTAGTAGTTAAGTAATAGGAACAATCTGAGATAATTTTGGAAACTTTTCATGAATCTGAGAAGCAAATAGTTTCAGACAACTTTTGTAGGAATCTGATTTAAAAAAATCTGACCAATATTGAGAAACTTTTCGAGATTGTAGCAATTATTATGTACGGGTTGATATGACAAAAAATTGGAATCCGTTGGTCAAATAGTTTTCTCTTCCACCTGTTTCAATCTGTTTATTATGTTTATCAAAAAAGTTGGTCAATTTGATCAAACAAAGGACATACAAAAACCATGTTATTATTTAATCATTAACCATGCTATGTGTTAAAACAATGTATTTTTTTTTTTACATTTCATAAAGTACTAGTTATCTTATACCATATAAGTTATCTCTTCAGAAAAAATACTTTTCTAGCTTTATTTATATTTTTGCAAGCTTGTTGTCCGTACTGTAGGCAGATATATTTTTCTAGTTCCAAGATATTTTCTTCCGGAATCCTCTCAAATTACCCGAGTTTTAAAAATATCTATATAAATCTTTATTTTTTTATTTTTTATAAATGTACGTTCATGGTGTAAAGGAGAGATAGACTGTAGTGGCCAATGTCTTTCCTTTATGCCAAGAGGCAGATGCGAATCAGTCCCTGTCTAGAGATGAAAAGCTGTAGTTTTTTTTTATATTTCATAAAATACTAGTAAGATATTTATATATTTGAAATAGTTATCTATATCGATTGATAACAAGCATATAAAGAAATGAATGTATACTCACGCAATCATGCCTGTAATTTGCCATTACATTAGGTACTCTATGGTGTCTGAAATATTCAATAAAATAACAACAGAGATTACGTTTATATTAACAAAAACAACACTTAACATTTCTATCAAATTTCAAATTTATTATAAATTTGTTTATAAAAATTGCTAGAAGTAAGTTGAAGAAACCTCAATTGTTCTTGCCATCTCTGGAATCAGAATCTTTTTCTTTTTCACAGTCATATTCAGTTTCATTCTCAGTTTTTATGTCGTCAAAGTTTTTAATTCCCTCATTCCGTAATAGAAACTCTTCAAACTAGAGTGGAGCCTAATCACCGTCACAAATTAACCACCCACTGTTACCTGGCCCCATTGTGGCTTGTAGTACTGGCTGTGAAATGTCGGTCTGTTTCCATATAAAATACATGCAATATAATATTTTGATTTTTGGGAGTGATTCTCTCTTGTTTAGTGGAAGATATGCAGTGTCAACTTTAGATGTGCTACTCACATAGGTTAAAAAAATCGCTGCAATCGTACCTAAATAGAAACAAATAATGAACACTGTATATTCAATACAATTTACCACACTAACATGTTAAATAGCATATCGGCTAACGTGCCCAAGCATAAAGCCACAAAACAACAACGAAAAAATGTTAGATATATGATATAAGTTATCTCTTCATGGAAAACAATTGCCCTGGCCATATTTGCGCATTGGATATTTTTGCAACCTTTTTGTCCGTAAAGTAGGCAGATATATTTTTCACGCTCGAAGATATTTTCTGCTAGAATCTTTTGAAATAAGCGGAGTTTCGAAAATATTTCTATAAATCTTCAGTTTTTTCATAAACTCTAGTGGCCTTATCTATGTTTTACATCCAGAGGCAGATGTGAAATCAGACCCTGTCTAATGATGAAAAGCTGTTCTTTGGTTATGCATCCATCTTTTAGAGAATAGGAGGATTCCTCATAAGGCAAGATGAAATTAGATGGCTTAAAATTGTGTGGTCGCTTTATAGTATAAATATCTGATGGGCTTTCCCTTACTCTGGTCTCTCATTCTTGCCCACTGTTTTGGGATTATTTTACACATCTATCAATTATCATATCTAGTGAGGATAATCTGATTGATCTTAACTTTTGAAGTATAAAGGTTGATAGATCACCTTGAGGGAGAGCATGCAGAAAAACATGTCATCAACAATTGTATATTGAAATAATGAGCCACGAAGGCTAGGATTAACCTCATTAGATATTTTTACTATAAGGGAATCACAAATTTTTAGACTAATTTTAGAAATTCATAAGAAAAGAATTATTTCAAAGCCAAGTTTGTGAATTTTATTGCTAAAGACTTAAAACCCCTAAGAACGTCATTGATAATTGGGTAATTTTTATTTGGTGGTTGCTTATGAGGAACTTGCTATTCTCTAAAACCAGATACATAACCATTGAAACTGAGATTGCTCGTATTTCAACGAGGGATTGGTATCAACTTAGCCAAAGCCTTGCCAGCTTTTCATCTTTAGATAGAGTCTGACTTCACATCAGTCTCTTGGTGTAAAGAAAAGACATTGGTCATTACAGTCTATCTCTCCTTTATATGTTTGTTTATAAAAAAAAAATAAATAAAGATTTATATAAATATTTTTAAAACTCGGCTAATTTGAGAGGATTCCAGAAAAAAATATCTTGGAACTAGAAAAATATATCTGCCTACAGTACGGACAACAAGCTTGCAAAAATATAAATAAAGCTAGAAAAGTATTTTTTCTGAAGAGATAACGTATACGGTATAAGATAATTAGCACTTTATGAAATGTAAAAAAAAAATTACATTGTCTTAACACATAGCATGGTTAATGGTTAAATAATAACATGGTTTTTGTGTGTCCTTTAAACAATTTTAGATTGTTTGCACTTTTTTATCTGACTGACCAACTTTTTTGATAAACCTAATATATCTATTAGGTTTATCAAAAAATCTATCGATTGAAATAGGTAGCAGGGAAAACTTTTGGAACAACAGATCCCAATTTTTTGCATGTCGCCTCGCACGTAATAAGTGCTACAATCTTGAAAAGTATCTAAATATTGGTCAGATTTTATCAAATCAGATTCCTACAGAGTTGCCTGAAACTATTTGCTTCTCAGATTGGTGAAAAGTTTCCAAAATGTCAGATTTTATCTTATTAGTTAACTAGAAAGTGGTCTAAAACTATTCCAACCGTATTTTGGCTGATGCTGATTGGTACATTTTTCAAATTTGCACATCAGATTTGTGAAAAGCTTAAAAAATTTATCCAGATTTTATAAAAATCCAATAATAAAATTACTGTGCTCTGAAAGTATTATAACCGATTTTTTTCTGCTGCTGATCACATAATTTTTGGTAGTTTTTGCGATTTTTGAAACTTACCATAGCCAAACTTTTCCAGTTTGTCGTCTGATTTGAGCGTTTTTGCCATTAGGGTTGTCACCTCTACTGTTTTCAATTTTCAAACCATGTGCCCCTGTGATCACACTGATCAAATGGTTAAATCTTCAGTAGATCCCGGACTATATTTAATGTGTTCAAATTTATCAGAAATTACAAAAAGCACTTCCAATGTGGTAGGCCAAGTAAATTTTGGTCATGAAATAGGAAGGTCTGAACCTCTTCAATAAGAATATTTATAGAAATAAAAAAATATTTAGGTCTTTTTTTTCCTGCAGTTAGCAAAAGCATTTATAACTTCTCTGGGTTTTCTCCATATTCAACTTTACTACAATAATTTTAAACAAAAAGTTGTTATTTTTTTATTGCTATGAACATTTGATTTTAAGAGTAGTTTCAGGTGTGTATTAAATGATTTTTAACTTTGTTTCTCACTGAAAAAACATTGATTCCCTTATTGCTGTTAGTCGATCCATTTTATTTAAATATTGTGTTCATATTAAAGCTATCTGCCAAGTATAATCTTTTTTTCTAAACCGGTTGGGTATCTACATTAAGATTAGATGTTCAGAACTATTTGAAACAGAAATATTGCATGTGTTGTAGATATGCATGTAATGTTATAGGGGAAAAAAATATGAATTTAATAATCCATCCATCTTCTATTCCTATATTCTTTAATGTTCAGTGTTATTTTTTATTGTGTTTTTATCCATTGTTGAGCAATGATTTTTTCTTACCAGCTTGGTGTGCTCCCATCTTAGTTCTTTAGTTTGTTAATTTTTTTTTCCTTTATTGCTATATATCTATTTGTTTTAAATTAATTTATTCATTCTAATACTAGCAGATATATCCAAACATATTCTTTGTCATCTACTCATGTCAGAAATATAAAAATAATGTCTATAAATGGGATTCTGAAAATGGCAGAACTTGTCCGAAAGTTGAATAGTGACTAATTGTCTGATATGATAACACCTGATCTTAACTGATAAGAATCTATTGAGCTTTGTATTACCCTTTTAAGCGAGCACAGCGAGTGGAAGTTGAAAGCATTGATGAAATTAAAGATGAACGGGTCAATACTCGCTGTTCTCAGAATTCTTTTTTATATTTATTTTTAAAAAAAATTTTTTGTGATCATGAGATCTTGACCCAACCATCAAAGTTAAGCAACACTACCAATTGTAAAAACCATCATTGAACATAAAAGAATAAATGTTAGGTGGTTGGTTATATTCTTGATTTTTTTTCCTAAAATGAAATAGTTTTCGATATAACGATCACACTTGTAGAAAGAAAATTTTCGAGTTTTAGACAAACCAACAAAGATTGAAAAGATTCTGCATTGGGGTTCAGTCTTTACTTCTTTCTAGAAAAATTACATTATAATACGAATTTCAAAGATTAGCATTTCTGTACAGTCGTTAGCATTTCTGCTTCAGGGAACTTCTTTATTCCATTTGTTATCTGAGTATCTTTAAATTTGGATAATTATTGTATATGCTTACAGTATAAAAACCCATTAGGTAATGGAACTTTTCTGGGCATTATATATATTACTTGATGTTTTAAGAATCCTTGAAGTAATTTTATTGTACTGTTTTATTGATTTCTTTTTTTTTCTTTACTTTTTTCAGGATGATAAAGCTCAATTAATATGCTATGAAAGAGATGATAGAGCAGGTCCTAAACTTTCTAAATATTCCATTGCTCTTTGTGAAGATGCTGAAAACATGAAAACTGTTCTTTCAACTTCTTTAGGAATTAAAGGTTCTGTAAAAAAAACTCGACATTTGTTTTTTATTAAAAACACCCGTATTCATGTTGATGAGGTTGAAAATCTTGGAGATTTTATTGAATTTGAGGTTAGTTTTTTTTTTATCTTGATACACTTTTTCTTTTTTTTATTCTGACTCCTTGGAGTCAGTCTGATTAAATGACTGATGTTTGTGAAAACTGGGATCTTATTCTGACTTGTGAAAATAATCTATGATAATATATGGATTAAAAGAGAACTATGATTTTTTTATTTATTTTTATTGTTATGTTCAGATAAATTGTAGTCTGGAGAAAGCATCTATTTACTTATTTACATCTCTTGGTTCTGTGGGCTTTAGCATCAGTGACATATGATTGATATTCGTTTATATCCTCAATTCTTTAAATCTCTGGTACAGGATAGCTTACATATTCCTGTGTACTTTCTAATACTGATCCTCTTCTTGTCCTTGAGGCCATAAAGAGACAGGAGAGCTGTGCCCACTGCCATTTATGTACTATTAGTGACTTTTTTAACCATTGGAGGAAAAGGAATCAACCATCATTGCCATGCTTTGCCTCAGTTTCACCATGTCTTTTTCCATTGCCACTTCTATTTACAGGCATAATTTCAATTACTCAGTTTCTCATTGAAATGAATTGAGTTAGAGTGTATGATGGATATTCCTCAAAAATAAGAAAAAAATAATGAATACAAATTAAATAATTGTTTAAGTTATTAGAAAAGAATTACTGTACATGGGTAGTTTTAGGTACAGTAACTCAAGGAATAATTTTTCTTGACCAATGGTATTTTCTAATGGGTATGTGGTTTGTGCTAAAATACCAGTTTTTCCTGACCCTAAAGACTATTTTCTGTTGATAATATAAAAAAAAAAAATCTATCATATCATTTACGTTGACTAGAAAAGGAAATGTGTAATTAGGAGTCATTTAACCCTCATTCCTTCTTCCTTATAAAGAAAAATATAAGTTAATCACCATTCCCACTTTTTAACATTAATCTTTTGATTATATAATTCCTATTGGCTTGGTAAAGCCTAATAGTTTTGGGGCTCAATTATACTACATGTCCTCAGATGTTTCTTTCAAGAAAGATAAATGAAAATAATTTGAAGAGGTCTAGAGATATTTTAATCCAATTTACACAATACCAAACCTTTACATGAATAACTTAATTAATTAATAGAACTTTTCGTTTATAATGGTTTAAATTTGATAATAATATAGTATTTTCCTTAGAAAAGTGTACAGAAAGCATGCTTCAGATAATTTTAATATTTTATATCCATATCCTTAAATTGAAGAGGTCAACAGAATATAACATATTAATAATGTGGCATTGTGTTGTAGGTAGTACTTGATGAAAATCAAACTGAAGAGGATGGAAAGACTGTTGCATATGATCTTATGAAGTTACTTGGTGTACATGAATCCGATCTTATATGTGGAGCTTATATGGACATGATTTTGTCTACAAAAACATAGTTCACAATTTTATTATTATATGTTGTTTGTTGCAATGAAATTTAATTGAATTCGGGGGATTTCGCAGTTTATAACAACTACATCTTCATAGTATCCTCCTTTTGCAACATATTTTCATTTTATTCTTCCTTTGGCTTATTAAGTGCTGATGAGGCTCTATTTATATTATACAACTTCCTAAAGTTGTTTAAAAATCGAATGTCTGTGATTCTTATATGTATTCGAAAGATAGCTATGTCCAGAAAATATTTATCATAGCATATTAATTTGTTCCAAGTTTAAAAATTTAAAAATTGTTCAATAAAATTAGCCCAATATATTTTTAATAAAGGCTTATAATATATATATTCTTTTTTGTTTACCCAAACTCTATAATTATACAGTGCTTCACAGGAAGAGTGCTTAGCCTTTTTACAAGGTATAGAGTTATTTAAAGGTTAAGTATTGTTAAGGCCACACCTGTGTTCCCTTCTATGCTCTGTTATCTGTGCAATAATTATTTCTATGTAGTTTAGGTGTTTATATCTTAAAATACTTTGTCCCCTTTTGTACATGTTGAGAATTATCCTTGTATCTTGTTGACACTACACCCGGGGAGGGGAGGGGGGTCATGGCCGCTGTCTTTCAGTTCGGTGTTCCTAGTAGTATCCTGGAGTCAGCCCCCATGCTTTCCATCCATCTTAGCCTGGGTCTGCCTCTGATAATAATTTTGTTTTCTATTCTTCTTTCATCCCAAAAAATGGACTTAGGTAGTTAAAAAAAGAACTTAAAACCTACTGCTCGGCCGCATCTTGATTTTGAACTCGTAAAAATTTGTTTGCCTTGTGTTGTCACGACTGTTTTGTTGTTATTTGTGTTATTGTTGATACATTGTTATGTTATGCATAATCTACTCAATCCTTGTGCTAAATATTCTCTTACACATTGTTCCATTAAGGAAGAATTAAACTTATGTGATAAACAATACAAGTAAAACATTTTGTACATGGTTGAATGAATTAAATCTCATTCAATAAAGAAGGATTGAGGTAAGGATAGATGCAAGTTAGCAGTATATTCTTAGTGATAAACAAATTTCTTTTCCAAAATTCATGTTTATTCCATCCTCCTGCAATCCCTCATTTTGAACCATGTAATTGCTTTGCGGTCATTCAAACATATTATTGTAACTGGGGTTGATGTCTACAGTTAATTAATTACTAAGAGTATATTGTGGAATTTGTCAACATGTTCTAAATACCAAGATTGTGCTAGAAGCAACTAAAGTGGTTTGGCTCTCTAGTCAATTCTATTAGTCTGCAAAATAGGATGTTAACATCATAAGCATGCTCACTGGTTAGAAAATTAATGATAGTTTTTATGCTAGCACACTTACAACTTTTATTTACAGAGATATAAAATGTTCATCTGAACCATGAAAATCATTTACATGTATATCTGGACTCAGAGGATAAATGATAAATTATTAACATTAAACTTATAAGTTATGAACTTAATAATGGGAGCCCTTTTAATGCTTATTTATTTTAATTTTATATTTTGTAGAATGCAATGGAAATATTCCTTTATCTATTTTTGTTTTTATATTTATTTTTCTTTGCAATATGGTGTCCATATTTCTGTGCATTCTCCCATCATTTGAACATATCTTATGGTGGGCCCACACTATAAGCAAACACGTTTAACACAATTCTTGGGCAAGCTTGATGTAAACTAACCAACCAAGCGAAGCTCGGCACCCATATATTAGTGTACACAGTAGAAGAAAACAAGATTTACCTAAGAGTTGCCGTGGGACTAACTGCTGCTCTACCTCATATCATCTAAAAAAAAAAAAAAAAAAATGGAAAAGATGGTGGATATTGAAAATTCATCAGAATCGTACAAGGTAACCATAAAATTTAACTTGTTTTTTCTTATTAATATCAGTTACTTGTTTATTTCTTTACCAAGAAATATTATATGTTTATAAATGTACATTTTAGTGTGTTTCACAAAATATATATCTTGTACATTTATAAGTAAATGTATAAAAATGTACATAAGGTGATGTTTATAAATATGTTAAAAAAAGTCTTAGCCATTGTGCCTTGGTTCCTTTACCCTCTATTATCATTTCACCCATAACAAATTATTTCTATTTTCTGTCCATGAATTTGATTCCATACAACTCTTTCTTACTAAATATTTTGAGTCAACAAATAATATATATAATTATTAGTTGTATGGTTCATGACACTTATTAGTGATTTATTTTTAAGTAACTCGATGTGAAATATAGGGAAGTCAGATACACTCTGGCCTCTATCATAAAATATTGGAGTATGAGGTGGCTTGGCATCTGTGGTGAAAGATTTATTTATTCAATGTAATCATTTATTATAGGATTATTTCTTAAATCAAAACATTGAAGACACAAAAGAAATGAAGTAAAAAAAAAATCACATTAGGTATTCTAGACTTCATTCAAAATTCAGACGGTACGTATATGCTGCCCAATGTAATTATTTCACTATTCTTATTTTATTTATTGACAAATAATTACATAGTTATTATTATTAGATTCAGTAGGAATATTACTTAATTTTATTAAAATTTATTTTGTTAATTAATCAAGCAACAAAATTTTTTATATTGATTGATTAATAACATTGATACCATTTCATATTGGACTTTTTTTTTGTTACAGAGAAACAATGGAAAACATCTCTTCTGAACTCTTACATGAACCTTCTGGTGAATTCCATAATTTCTGTCGAATGACATTCACTGATTTTGAAATGCTTTTGACAACAATCTCATCACAAATTGAAAAGAAAAACACTAGGGAAGCTTCAGAGAAGCTGTACTTCCGAAATACAGACTGGCATCCATGCTCAGATATTTGGCTTCAGGGAGTAGCTACAGAAGTTTGCATTACTTATTTAAAGTATCCGAACAATCAATATCTAATTATAAGGGATGTGTGCCAGGCTGGAGTTCTACAGGATGGGATAATGGTAAAAAAGTAAAAATATGTATACATGTATCTGTATAACTTTATTCTAAGATTTCTATTTTTATAAAAGTTATTTAATTAATACTTACAGTTAAAATAACATATTTTCTTCTAACGTTGTAATTTCAAATTAAATTAAATTCATTTTATATATAAAACATAATTTATCTGTTAAATACAATATTTACTTTTGAACAAAAATATCCTACTCTATTCTGTTTGCTTTATGTAATTATGTAAACATTAAACAAAAAGTATTAGCCTCTAATGAAAACAATAGTCCGAGAGCCCATGGCAAAAGAGGTCTCTTATTTCATACTAAGGTTTGTCCTTATAAATTGACCATGTCCACAGGTGTGTTGAGAAAAATGCACGTCTGCCAGTATATAGCCACTGGAATACAAAATGGCTCCCAGGTGAAGATAGAGACCCTATATAGGTAGAAAACTTAGATAGAGAGAGGCTCTATAGATATAGAAAGCTACCAGCTTTTTAAATTTATACTATTTACTGTTTTAGGACATGAAATAGTGGTCAATTACTCCATACCAAGTCGATTTAAAGTCGAAAATTTGAATTTATGGTTCAATATATATTGTTAAATTTTCTACTTGAAATCGTCGAGTGTGAGGTAACTGACTATTGTATTCCAGCGGCTATATACTGGCAGATGTACATTTTTTTCATAAGGCCTGTGGTCATGGTCAATTTATAAGGACAAACTTCTGTAAGAAATAAGACACCTTTTATGCCGCGGGCTCGCGTACTATGACTATCACATTATTTAAAAAATATTATATGTTACAATAACCAATCTCACATTCTTAAGGTAAAAGAGGTTAACGGTACATGTTGATTTGTTTTCATTATGTGCTAATATTGTTGTTGAAACTTTAACTTCCTATCATATCAATAATAAATTATCGACATCCAATTCTCATGAAGTTTCAGAATTTTACTTATCTATTTGCAAACATATTTAAATTTATAAATATCCATTATATCTACAGCCATACGCCTGTGGCAGCAACACTGTTATTATCAAGAAAAATAACTTTTAATATGTGTACTTGATTTATTTTGATCAGAGACATCTGTTTTATATAAAAATATAAGAAGCTTAACCTATTAATGTAAAATGTCCAAAATAAAGAGTACTAAGTTGTTATTATTGTTAATGTGATAATACCTCCACACACCAAAGTAAGTGCAATTTTGAGTTTTAGCACTTCAAGGTTTTTGCAATGTGACAATCCAATAAAGGATTACAATAAACAGTTTGGAGTGGGGTAGCTCAGTGACTGAGCACTGACTTCCAGAGCTTCAAGGTCCTAGGTTCGAATCCGCCTAATGACTAGTCATTTTTCATTATCCTAGATCGACCCTGAGATCGGGAGACCCTCCTGGGACACACTCAGCCTCTATAAAGTGGGTACTCTTAATTAAATAATTAATTAAGGGGGAAAATCTGGCAGTTGAACGTGATATCGGCCCCATCACCTCCCTGCACAACCGTTGGCCTTGTAACAGTACTTCCTCACGTAGTACTGCACCCAAGACCCTTCATGGGTTGTAGTGGTACAGTTTTTTTTTTTTTTAAGTTGTTATTATTGTTTATGTGATGATATCTCCACACAATAAAGGTGCAATTTTGAGTTTTAGCACTTAAAGATTTTTGCAATATAACAGTCCATATAGTAATACAATATATTTTGTTTCTTGCCATCCAATAATAACACCTTAATAAGCATATATATAAAGAGGACAGAATAGGGAAGCGTACTAAATCGCTTCCAATAGATAATCAAAGTTATGCAATTAAGTGACCATGCTGCCCGAGATTCCAGTCCTTCCTCCTTTCCCGATCGTCCTGTCAGCCTACTCTATGCAACTCACAACGACTGGGTATAGGATTGCTGACTCTACCTGGTGTACCTTAGTTGGGAATCGTGATTTGGTTTTCTAGGATGTCATTAGTCCCAGAGGTTTGGTCCTTAAACAAGAATTTTTGTCTTCAGGAAAATTATATATTAAATAAGGAAAATATTATATACTATACTTATATATATATATATATATATATATATATATATATATATATATATATATATATATATAAAAGCTAATTTGATATATACATATATATACCCATTATAACGTCAAGAAATAATTAGCTGTAGGAAAATATATGCATCAATTTATTCTATTCTATTAACTAATATTTACAATATATTATTATTACAGATGCCCTCAACAACGGAAGCTTGGATAACTAGAGAAAAAAGATTCAGAAAGAAATGTCCACATTGTGTGGGTTCCCTCGATGGCAAACATGTAGTAATTAGGT